GGCTAACATTGCTCCAACACACTGAAATTATACTATCCCAGAAGCAAATAGGGTCTATCTTGCTAGATTTTTCAACTTGTGGGTGGCTGAAGACTGCTATTTTAACCACAAAACTGTCGATCAAAGGGATCCTAAGCCCTTCAGCACCCACCTGCAGTGTGCATTGAATATCACCCTGGAGAAAGCACCTCTATCAGATGCTGCTCACGTTACTAAACACCACTGGAGCTGTTTCTTCACAGGAACTTGAATTTTACTCCGATTACATCGGGCCCTCGCAGGTGGGTGCGGGTCGGGGGTTGCCAGGGCTGGGGGCGGCGAGGGCCGGCAGCGGGGGGCAGCGTCCGCCGGCGGGCTGCCCGCGCCGCGTTTGTTGGTCTGTAGGCTACGGTGGAAGGTGTGCTATGCTGGGGTAATATGTAAGCCCTGTAGAGAGGGAGATATCAAGGCCCTTGGCCTTCTAAATCGTGGGAGGTCTGTGCTGGTGTTCTTCATGTTCTGGCAGGGAGTAAGTCCTCAAAGCACTCAAGTTTGTGGAGGTGACGTGGATACTCATCACCCTTCTCGGGACTGCACCCCCAGCTGGTGAGGTCCCTGCCCATGTAGCATAGGGATTCGATGCTGTAAATCCTGAACAGCTTGTGTTCATGCAAATGCATGGCGTGTTCTGTTAGAGGGTCAAAGCTCAGTGCTAGAAATTATTAGTTCTTCAAGGGAACAATTTTATTTCCATGAGAAGCAGTAGCAAAAGTGGTGTAACAATTTTTCAAGGTTGCTGCTAAGGCTGTAGTGCTGTCTGCTTGAGAATTTGACTTCTTAATTGCAGACCCTGCTTGGAAATTTCCCTAGATTGGTATTTCAAGGAAGGCCTTGCAAAGTCGGGCTCTTAAAAATGGAACAAAAAATTATCTTTGTGCTTTTTGTAGAAGTATACTGAGGTACTATCCTGATGGAAAGTGCTAAGTGTTGTGTGCTTTTAATAAGCAGAGCTGCTTATTAACTGTCTGTAGGCAGAATTCAAGGAGAAACTGGTAGTGTTTAGGGCCTGATCTGATCCTGAAAGTACTACTGGGTTTTGTCTTTGCAGCTGGCATTCCAGCTACATAATTTACCAACAAATGCACCAGACTGCACGTTTTGACATGACAACATCCTGCAGTTGCACCTCTAGATTATTATTAAGAAGGGACGAGCTCTGAATAAATGCTGCTGTTGATTGACGTGTTGTGTAGCTTTCTCTGTGCTAGAATACCTTATCGTTTAGGGGTAGAATATAATCTTACAAACAGTGTTTAGCAGCCAGAGGGGGAGAAGATGCTAAAATATCTGAGACGTGTTTTTTTGTATATGTTGTTGCCCTACCAGTTACAGGAGGAGCTAAAATTAATATTAAGGCACCTAATCAGTTCTGAATCTGCGGAGATTGTCCTCTGAGACAGTGATCTGTTCAAGGGTCTGGAATAACCATTCCACCTCCTGATAGTTTTCCCATAAGCCCATTTGGAAATGTTTTACTAGTGGAATAGACTCCCAAGGGAAGGAGTGAAAGTCATCTGTAAAGTTGGTTACAATTACGTTGTGCAAAGCACTGGGGAACATGTGGTGTGCAACAGTCCTGCCGCTCCTTCACAGCGGACTAAGCCTGACCCAGTGTGACTTTCTAGTTGACCTTCTCTGCTGTATTTGGTGCAATGATACTGAGCTTACAGCAGAGTGTATGCCAGATCCCAGTGCAAAATCTGGCATGTCCTTTCATGTGATAAGCTGTTATTTATTATCCAGCAGGAGAGAATCTGCCATCAGGCAGATGAGGAATAACCTTTTTGTATACTTTCGCTATGCAGATATAAGCATTTTGGAACTTGTTTGCATTCAACAAATACAAGTGTGTGAATACTAGGGAAGACTTGATGATAACTCCCAAATCCTCTTTTAGTCACCTGCTGATGGCTGTTGTGAATATCCTGCTTCAAGATGAAACTCCAAATTAGGTCCCCGTAAATCTTTCAGGCTCTAAGCACTTAGTTCCTGTGTGGGAAAAATGGTAATATAAGAATTAGGTACATTCATACAACATTATGTGGAGTTAGTCATTCTGTAGTTACATGATAGAGACTTCTAAGCTGCACAGTAACGTTTGGGTTGTGTTGACTGTTCCCAGGCAAAGTGCACGTGGATTTGTGCAAGAACCTGGCCCTGCTCTATACAGAAATAGTGATGTCTCCAAGGCAGAGCTAGCAGCAGTGCTCACTTTTACTTTGTGTTATGTTCTTTCTTCTGGATTAAGGCCTATGAATGTATTAGTGACCATGGTGAGGTAGCTGGAGGCACATTTGATGACATCTTGGGCTCTGATTTGGCCTTTGTGTAGGAAATTTTAATTCCTCTGCAGGCCAGTCCAACACATTATTACCAAGAATGAACTCTGGCATTTCTGATCCCTCTGTACAGACTTTCAGCTCAATACCTTAAATCTGGCATTGAAGCAAATGAGATCTGACATGGAGGATTATTCTATGAATTTCCCAAGATTTATGTCAATCCAGTTTCTAATTCCTCTTTGGATATCACAGGCAATCCCTAGAAGGAGGAAAAAAACCTACACGTCTATATTGACAAGACACTGTTACAAAGTAAGAAAGCTGATGTCCTTTCAGGGCAGGCATGATGATGCTAATGGGAGGTACAGAAGTAGGACACCACTCTTCTGGGTGCTGACTGTTCTAGATTATTCGTTGAGTTAAGAGACTAAATGGGAGCCAATTTTAACTGGGAAATGTCCCCATGAAGTGTAAGTGGGAGCCACAAACCTGACCAGCTCCATGCAGACTTCAGATCAAGGCTGGACCTGCTCTGCTCCTGCTCAGTGAAGTTGACTCCAGCCCCATGGACAGCTGCTGAGTGAAGGTAGGAACCCCTGACTGATATTTTGTAGCCTGGAAACTCTGTGATTCACTATCATTTGGGTGTTAGAATTGCTCTGTGTCTTTGGTGCTGGTATCTGTTGAATGTGATTGTTGGCTCAGGTAGGGTTTAATGTAGCTGTTATATTTGTTGATTTTGTTGGAAGGTGAAAGGGACTCATCAGTGGTGTTGAATCTTTTGACTCCGGGAAATAAAAGAGGACATTTTCAGAAAGGAACTGCGTTTGGAGTTTTAAGGAAGTTGGCCCATTGTTTCTAACCTTCTGGGTGGTGCCTGCGGCTGTCACATCTCTTAATTAGACTTTTCAGAAGACATTCATGAATATCTCCAGTTATATGAACAGAAAAATGTTTTAGAGTATGTGGAAGTCTTGCTCACAGCTTTCCAACAGTGACAAGCAAATTAAGTGACCTGGAAGATCTCTAGGAGATTCCTGCCTAGTGGTTCTGAGTTTGGTTTCAGCTAATAAACAGAACAGCAAGGAAGTCTGAGCTTAGTCCTTCTGTCTTAGAAATCCAAAATGTGGAGGTCTCAGCTGAAACACTACTTTTTAACTGCAGCGTTGTCATAATCCTAAGAGTCACAGTAGTAACTCACATTGCTTGGTAGGAATCGCAAGAGA